TACGAAAAAACAAAATAAAATAAAAGCAGCAACATCGCGCATTTCAACAGTCATGCCAACCCAAGCAAAGAAAATGCAATGGCGAACGAACGTGCATGCCGGGCTTCAAATGCGATCTGCCGACATATGTCGTTTAGAAGCGCATTTTTTCGTTTCTGATTCAGACACATCCGACGAAAATTTACCAAAAAAGAAAATACAATTTAAATCTCCAGAAGAAAGAAAGATGAATCGTTTTCCTTCGAGAAAAGTCGAAACAGAGAATCCACTTAAGAAAACGATAAAAAAACGGGTTACATCATGGGCTAATATACACAATTCTCATTTGCACGGTGATTCGATGCAGACAGGTTCTGTGCGCGTTCTTTTTCGATGGTGAGCATTTATGGCTTTGTGCATGAGTATGTTCGTTGTTTTCGTCCAAATGAGAAATCTACTCGAATGAATATTATCATCATTAAATACATTATATATGGCATTCGTTACACATTTTCCGAAATCGATTCAGACTCCATATAAGATGCGCGCACTGACAACATCCTTTGCACTGACACTGATGATCGAATTGCTGCATCATTAACGAGACACAAAGAGAGGAAGACGAGAAAGGAGTGGAATAGAAACGAAGATGCAACAATAGACAATAAACACAAATAGACGGTCAGTGATCATTTTTAGTGTTGGGCTCATTTTAACATATATACGCGATTATTTATTTTTTTTTCTTCGTTTTTTTTTATTCTCTAACAATCGAAAATATATTCAAATGGACATGTATGTGTTGGTGGTGCTTCTTCATTATATTATATAATTGCATCCATAGACGAATTTCACTTTTTTTCGTCTGTTTACACGATTCCTTTTTTTATCGCATTTTATGTGTTTTTTCTCTCCCTCTCAAATCCTCAATCGCAGACGAAATAAACATAAACCATTCTTTTGTTCATCCGCATTTAGCTCTATCACTTTATTCGAATGTTACATCAGAGAAGAAATAAATGGTAAAATTCAACCCTGATGCACAATCCTTTATAAAATATTCTCCATCCATGATTGAAAAAAATTACAATATTAATTGGCAATGAACATGGCCTGGAAATGCCTATGTAATTTACATATAAACGAGTGAGACTCAAACGTGTACTTCTTTTTCCATCAAATATACCAGTGGCGCCACCAATTTTACATATAAGCGCATACAAAATGTTCAATATGACTGCGCCCATGAGAGAGAAAATTTCGTCTCATTCATTTCCGCCCCATGGCAATGAATGTGAAAAAATCATACTTTGATTAATTTGGAAAATGCAAAAAAAATGTTCAAGACTTGCGTTCTTCTGAAAATGAAATATTTTAAGGATGATCATTTTTCTTCATGAAAACTCATTAAGCATCGAGTTTTCGATGAAAATGCAGCAAAAAAATTGCTTATCTTTTAACCGCTATCAAAGAGAGAAAAAAAATCATAAAATGGCCGTGTATTTATTTATGTCGTGTGTATTTTCTATTCTTAAGATATCTTACCGAATGACACATCGGAAAATAAAGTAAGTAAAGCAAATTGTGTTACACACAGTGGATTAAGTCGAAGTATAATTTGAAAAGCTTAAAGAAAAAGAAATGTGAAACGAAGTAACGCCAATGAAATATGTTGCATATGCAATGCATATATAAAGCGCTGAATGGGTCGTCGACCGAGCACCGAATTAGAGATTTAATAAAGTGAAAAAGAGTTAAGAAAACATACATAGCAGAATAAACAAATGCGTTGAGTGTGAATCTAGGAAAATATCAGCAATTTGAACATTTTTCGATGTTTTTAGACCTCCATCATTATATTTACCTTCGCAGTAGATTCCATTTGAATTTAAAAAGAACAACACACTCACACACTCGCTCGCTCGCTCGCTCATTGAATGGCAGATCTAGCTGATTTGGCCAATGGTTCATTGGGGAAAAATTCCGTATGACCCATTTCTATTTCTCATCTTCGTCGAATTTGTTTTTTCCACATTCATTCGTTTGAATTGCCAGTTTTGGTCACATTTGTTATTTATGCATACGCATTAAGTATGCGTTTTAATATGCACGCATTCGAGCAATCAACCGATTCTAACGGTGTTCATGCACTTTCACAAACAAGCTTCGCGCTTAGTTTGTTTCACGCTTTGCGTGCATCGATTTGCTTGATATTCATTTTCAGTGAAGCGAACAATCTGTGGGCTTTTACATTTTGGGTTATTGTTTTGTTTTGCTTTTTTTTATGTTGTTGTTGATTCATTTTGGTGCGCATTCTCAATTTGTCAATGCCACACATTTGTCGAAAACCTGTTGAAGATGAAGAATGTGGCGATTTAACGATGGTCCACTTTCGGCAAATGTGACTCATTTTGTTTTATGCACGTGTGTGCAAGAATTTCTCTTCCAATGCAAATGAACATTTGTTTCATTTATCAATTTGATTTGATCATTTGTTTGTTTTTTTCTTGTGAAGAATCATTTGTTTTTATCTGGTCGGAAAACTGAAAAGATATATTTTTAAATACTGCATAAAATAAGCACATTTAACTCCAAGAGATTTGAAATAATTAAGGGTATTTGCTTGTTTAAGGATGTACTTATTTTTGAATAACTCGTTGTTGCATGACAATAGTTTTTATGGGAAAACCTTAAGGCCAAAACTATTCAATCGAATCGGCTATTTTTGTCCAGATTTTTGTGGAGTTTCAAAATGGGAGCGAGAAAACTCTGGTATCTAAAAGTTGCGTCCAATCGAAATGTCCGAATTGAAAATGAAATATCAAAGTGTTTCAGTCGATGAATATATATCGATAAATAATTAATAAATGCGTGTATTGTGGCGAATTGTTCACGAAAGCAAATGAACATAAAAGGGCTTGGAACACACGGACGAAAAAAAACAAAAACAATGAAAATTCGAATGGCCGATATTTTGTGACGCATTTTTTATTTTGGATCAATCAAAACTACCGCAGAATACGTTCAATTCAATTGGTTGTTAAATTTTTTATTAGCTTACTTTTTTATATGGGGAATGTACAAAAGTCCACATAATATTCAAAAGAAATTCGGAAGTTTTAGAATAAGGGCATTTGCATTGACACACATATTGTTATATTTCCTTAATCCGTATTTCCTTAAAAGATAATTGTCCGGGATAATAATAACGTATGAATTTCGTTGTATTTACGTATTAAGTATGCTTCGAATAGAAAAAAACCGCCTATTTTTTTAAATTGTTCCCTCATTAGTTGTCCTTGTTAATTATCCACATGACAATACGCTCATACGTTGAGTTTAATTACTGAAAAATCGAAAAAGAATAGTATGATAACGTGGAAATCAATAGCACATTCAATATGACCTTTGATTTTGAACGGCGTCACATTTGAAATGTTCGATATGTGTATTCGCTTTGATTGAAACTGAAACAATCGTGATTGTGAACAATGGCTTAATGGCTGGTAAGAAGGGGGTGGGGGATAGAGGGTGAGATGAGTGAAAGGGTACAAATATTTCATATCTTTTGATTCGTACATGTGTGGAATTGTGCGTATTATATCGCACGGTGATTGATAGCAATCGCTGCTCATCTTTCGTTTTTTTTTTTCGTATTTATGTTTGTGTTGTTGATACAAATGAGTCAAGCTAATCAAGAGGAACATTTATTCGCTGCCTCTTTTCGATTCATTTCATCAATATCAAACCGAATTGTCGAAAAAAAAACACCACAAAATACCACGCATGTGTGCATTAAATCCCAAATATAGTGAAGAATTTTCGGACTTTTTTTCGGGCATATTTCGTCTTATAGATTGCCAATTAAACGAAACAGTACAAAAGTACGTCAATATCCAACATTTTTGTGTCATAAGCGACGCAAAGTGACCAAAAACAACAACAACAGACGAAATGATAACCAAAAAATAAAATGCTATGTCTTTTATGACAAAATAATGCGAACAACGAAATTCGATATGTAAAAAACTTGGTCAAACTAAAATTATTACTGTATAAGTATTCCAGTTAATGAATTTATGAGTATCGTTTGGATTTTGGTTCGCTTTCAGTATTCAGTTTGAAAATAACACACACACACGCGGTGTCTCTATCTCCAATTCTCAGCATTACTTAATAATTCATGATTGGGATTGACCAATTTCTCATGCAATCATTTTGCGTAGATAATCGAACGCGTATGTTTGTTCAATACACGCATACAAAAATGACTAAATGTAAACATATTTTTTCGATCGACACTTGTCCTTTTTTCCAATCATTTTTGTTTTTCATTTGTGAAATTTAAATATGTTCGCTGCTTTTTTTGAATTTGAACTTTCATTTTTTTCCCAAATACACAAATTTTTATTTCGATAAATAATTTTTATTAAAATTTGTTATCACACTTGACCAATGTGCATGACTAACCGAAAACATGTAGTAAAATTAAAAAAAAAAAATTAAAGATCTGAATCAAGCCAATTAAAATTCACTGAATTTAATTGAGAAACTGAAATAAATGGCTAATATTGTTTTCATAATTCATATGGACTTCAAAAGAATACACTCCATGAAAAATAGAAAATAGAATTGAATGAACATAGAACGCAGATTCAGCAAAAATGTTTATTACACTTGAATCTTTGTTCAGTTATTTGAAAGGCTTCGTTTTTTCATATTTCTTTGAATTTTAAAAAATGCTTTCAAATGTTCTTTTAAAACAAACCAACACAACACAACACTGATTGCTCACCCTATTTACTCCAGCTGAAACATTTAAAGTTGTTTTCAACTGCATAGTTCTTGACTGAATTGTGGAGATGGCGCCATGAATATTCGAATTATATGCTGTCTCTCCAAAACCCATATCAATTTGAAATACCAACAACTGTCACACCGAATATCTTGACATGACAGCTGTTCATTTTTAAAAACAAAAGTCATCTTGTGGTGATAGCCGCATATATATTTTTTCATCCAAACCAATAGCTTAGCTCTTTTAATTTTAAAATCACTTGCCCTCGAAAAAAAGGTATGTACTTCTTTATAATCAATATTTAATTCTAAATTGGTAAATGTATTGAAAGTAAATACTTCCATTGAACCGAATCAGAAAAAAAAACAGAAATGATTGGATGTTGTAGTTTATGTTTGAAATTGTTATTTTTATTAAAAATTCATAAATATTCAAGATATTCATATAAAATATGCGCAGAAAATAAATGCGTGTGTACGTTATCTAAATGAAACCAAGATAAGATTGTGTCAAAAGTTTCACTCTAGCAATAAAAGTGCATTGGATTGTCAGATAAATGTCAGTTGTACTGAATTAACAATTAAATTGTGTTTTTTTTTCTTTCGTTCAATTTCAAGCATGATGAAGAAATGTACTACACATTTATTAAGAGATTTACGGTCGTTGATGCGTCAATTGCCCAACAATGGAGGTTCAATAAATGCCTACATTATTCCATCGGATGACAGTCATCAAAGTGAATACATCAGCCCAACGGATGAGAGACGTTCGTTCATCAGCGGTTTTACTGGTTCAGCGGGTACGGCCTAGGGGCAATTCACTTAAAAATTACCTTTCTATTATTTAATAATTGTTATTGATTCTTTTTCGATTATTTTCGACAATTTTCGATTATTTGTCGACATACAATGATTTTTAGATAGGATAGATGCGAAAGATCTCCGCAAGATCCAGATCCAAGCGTGCGTACGCTGCCGCATGATGCATACATATATAATACGCACGCAAATTCGTTATTCTTATTTCCCCTTCTTTGATTCGCATGCCATAGCATTACGGAGTAAGGAATGTATGTATCATGCGGCTACGTACGCACGCTTGGATCCGGATCTTGCGGAGATCTTACGGATCTATTCTATCCAAAAATCATTGTATGTTTGTCGATTATTTGGCGATTATTTTAAATTAATTCTTTTCTTTTGTGATTCTCCCCTTAGGTACGGCCATTGTTACGGACAAAGAAGCATTACTATGGACAGACGGTCGATATCATCAACAAGCTGAACAACAATTGGATGAAAATTGGACGCTGATGAAGGATGGATTGCCAACAACGCCAACCATGAGCAGTTGGCTGGTAAACCACTTATCGGCCGGTGAGCGTGTCGGTGTCGATGGAAATTTATTATCATTTCAAACTTGGAACCCACTTAACACTGCACTCAGTTCAAACGGTATTTTTTTTCTCTCCGTCTGATCAAAGTTTAATTGCGTTGTTTACAATATTCACGTTCAAATTGGTTGTTGTTGTTGTTATTATTATTCTAATTTTAGACATTCAACTTAGTTCCATCAATGACAATCTCATCGATCTTATTTGGAAAGATCAACCGGCTAGAAAATTCAATCCAATTATTAACTTGGATCTGGAAATTACCGGGAAAAAAATTGCCGATGCTTTGGAATTGATTCGAATGCAAATGCGTGAAAAACATTCAGAAGTTTTTGTTGTGACTGCTTTAGATGAAGTTGCTTGTAAGAAATACATTCATTTTCTACCGAAATATTTTTGTGACATGACATTTCAATTTCGCATCATTTATCTGAAAAGGGTTGATGAATTTACGTGGATCAGACATTGAATACAATCCCGTCTTCTACAGTTATGTTTTATTAACACCGAATGAAGTCTATTTGTTTGTGGAAAAAAATAGTTTACCAACTGGATTTGAAGAGCATTTCCGTAAAAATAACGTTTCGGTCATCATTGAGGATTATGAAAATGTAGAAAAAGTGCTCAAAGAATTGATTAACAAGTCAACCGGAAAAGTATGGATCAGTCCAAGTTCTAGCTATGCGTTGAGCGCATTAGTGCCAGAACGGAAACTTCATCAAGAAATATCGCCAGTGTGTGTTATGAAATCGATAAAAAATGCCACTGAAGCAAAAGGCATGGTTGACTGCCATGTTCGTGATGGAGTCGCACTTTGCAAGTACTTTGCATGGCTGGAAGGTGCACTCAATCGTGGAGAGAAAGTTGATGAAATGTCCGGTGCAACCAAATTGCAAGAATTTAGATCGTAAGAAATGCAATTCTCTAGACTTTATTTTTCGGAATATTTAGATTCTAATTCATTATTGTGTCTGTACATGTAGAAAACTGCCTAAGTTTGTCGGACTTAGTTTTCCAACAATCAATGGATCTGGTCCAAACGGTGCTATTATTCATTATAATCCAGCACCAGAAACAAATCTACCAATCACTCTGAATGATATGTACTTATGTGATTCCGGTGCACAATTTCTGTAAGTTTAGTTGCATACGAATAATAATTTTTAAGTCGATTTGAATTTTATGTTGTGTTTTTTTAGCGATGGAACCACAGATGTAACCAGAACTTGGCACTTCGGCCAACCATCTCCATACCAAATCGATTGTTTTACGCGTGTTTTAAAAGGTCAAATTTCGATGGGAACAGCTGTATTTCCGATTAAAGTGAAGGTACATTTTAAAAACAACTTTTGTTTTGTGAATTTCCAAACAGCAGTGGAATTCATAAAGTTCATATCAGCCGGTGTATATTTGTATGAGATTGGAGACTTTTTTTTGCGAATCTCGCTAATGAGCGCCATCTGATTTTAGTGTGAATTAGATGCAAAAACTGAATTTAATTCTGTAGCATTGAAATGAAAAAGTGAAAAAACAACAACAATAGCACGGCCACACAGAGCTGTACATCTATGCGTGCTGATGCATACATACACATATACGCTTTCTTCATTCTTTCATTCCATTGCTATACGTATCTCACTGGTCAACAGATCTATGTAGCCATGTTACTGTTGTTGTTTTTTTTCTCTTTTTCGATTCAATTCATTGTAACTAAATTGAGTTCAACTATGGAATACAAGATGGCACAGATGAGGGGAATTCGCATTTTGTCTCTTCATAGGCTTAGCCGGTTGGTTCATATGTAATCCGTCGTAGGGAATGTTTCTGGATATACTCGCACGCAAATCATTATGGGATGTTGGTCTTGATTATCAGCATGGTACTGGTCATGGAATTGGACACTTTTTAAATGTACACGAGGGACCAATGGGAATTGGCATGTATCGACCCGCAGTTGAAGATCCTGGCTTACAAGAAAACATGTTTGTCTCAAACGGTAAATTAACTCAGACTTCATTTTGGGTTGTTTACGTTTTTAATATACGTCGAAAATGTCCAAATCATTCCATTTCAGAACCCGGTTACTATGAAAAGGGACAATTTGGCATTCGGATCGAAGATATTGTGCAAATTGTGCCGGCTAAAGTTCAAAATGACTTTAATGGACGTGGTGCACTCACTTTTAAAACCGTTACGATGTGTCCCATCCAAACTAAACTGATCAACAAAAGTCTACTGAATGAAAAAGAAGTAAGCATTCATTTTTATTATATCGAATGTGTACATTTTTATACAATGATTATTATTCAATTTCGCAGCGAACCCATTTAAACAACTATCATGCAACGGTTAGAGATACGCTCAAACCATTGTTGGAACAAGACGGAGATTCTTTCACCCTTAAGTGGTTGGAAAAGGAAACAGAAGCCATTTAATTTTTTTGAAAAACAAAAAACATATTTTTATATGAAATAATAAATAGTAAATAGTATTATTTTTCAAAGAAAAATTAAGTTCAATAAAAACAAGTTAACAGAAATCTGGTAACATTATTCCCACATTCAAAATATTGCAGAAATGTCTTCCTTTTTACTTTTGTTTCATTAATTATTAAATATACATACATTTTTTTACTTGTTCTTGAGCGACACCAAAGTCATAACATAATACCATGATTACTTTGATGCAGAAAATAGTTCAACAAATATTTCATTTGAATTGAAAACATTCCATATTTAAATAAACTGAAGTTGAATGTAATGAACGCTCTGTATTTTGTATCGTTGCTTCATCCGGGGAAATACCGGGTGAAAAATATACACTTTTACGTATATTGCAAAAGATGTGTTTTCATTTTGTCGGTTCTCATCGGGAGTTATCTGCCATAACACTACTCAACTTTTCAACCGGATTATCTGTTTTATTATTACTCAATAGCAACTGTTTACAGAATGTCTATTCATAATGGTATCGTATGTCTATGTTTTGTTTAACCCTCTAATGCATTAAATTTTTTTTCGATATGAGAACTATTTTTCTATGATTATTTTGGTTTAAAATTTCTTAAAAAAATAATCGAAATTCAAAAAATTGCATAGTTTACTCAAAAAATGCTATTGACAAAATTGGAGAACAATCGAAACCATTGTTTAAACTGCTCTAAAATTGCTATAAACGAAGAGCGAGATAATTTTTTTGTCAAATTTCTATTTTCGCGTACATCTGTGTTTTGTGCTCTATACCGAGTCTCCGAGGGTTTCATATAAAGTTGCCATGTAGATGATGAAAAATTGCGAAAAATGAAAAAAA